GATAACCTAACTAAGAGGGCAGAAGATGTTTTTTGTTTGTGAGGGCGTCACTAATTAAGGTGAAACATTTATAACCCAGATAGAATATAAAAAAAAAAGCCTGAAAGTTGAAAGTCTTTAAAGACTATAAAAAAATATATATATTCAGTTTGTTTCTAATAATCTTAAATTTTAATGCAGGTAACATAATAAATATTGATAAAATGTTACAAACAACAAAGTTTTTTTAATATATAATTGGCACTCATTTTACAGTTGTGTTGATAATGAATGTGGGCAATTAGCTCCCTGTGTTAAGGCTCAACAAACTAACAGTCTTATAAATATAGTTTTTAGAACGAAATGTTTGGGGGAAGTTGATAAGCAGGTTAGCACCTGATTTAACCACACAGTGTAACACAGACCCTAGTGATGCCACTAATAAGAATAAATATTGATATAGAAAATTATAGATCTATTATACTGTAGAAATACTCAAAGATACAGTTATAGATTTATATAGATCTATTTATTCTAGTCTAGATTTAATCTAGATCTATTAATTATATTTTACTTTAGACAGTTTAGACATACTCTCATGATATATCTATAATCTGGATCTAGAATCTATATGATTTATTATTATGACTATATTCAATCACAAAAAAGCACTGATTCTACGTATATCTAATAAATAATATTAAATATCTAGATCTAGAATTCTTTCTTTATTTATAAAAGATTAAGTTATTGATCCTCTTGAATATTGATTAGTCTAGATTTAGAAAGTCTGGAGATCTATGAGAATTCTAACTAATACTATAGATGATATATTGAGTATAGATTATAGTATAGACTTGATCTTCGTTCAATCAGTGAGACTCTGTGTCTTAACTCTAGATTAGATACTTGAATCTAGAATAACTAGTACTAGTTTAAAGTAGAAGTAGATCTCCAGATGTTGATAGATAAGATAATGATGGATTATAGATAGTCAATTAAACACAATTATGAAAGTTACATATAATATAGTACTAGCAGATCTAGAGATTAGAAAAAAAGATCTAGATTGTAGATCTAATCATCTAGATTCTAGTAACTTAAAAGGGCTTGTAAAGCTAAAATCCTCTCTTGCAGAAAAAGGCCTTGGCCTGGCAGAAACCCTGCTGTTTTGAGTAGTGCATACAATGATACATCATGATCCACTCTTAGTTACTCTAGATTAGACCTACTATACTACTTTGATCTATACTGTCTATAGTCTATATATTAGATTATAGATCTATATAAGTTAATTATAATATACTATAATATAGACTAAGACTACGAATTTAAATTGCACTTACTTTACTTTTACAGTGTGAGTGTGTTTATACTTTTACTTTTAGTATTTATACTATTTACAGTCACTCAGTAGTTTCAAGTTTACAGTATTTTAAATTTAGTATTTAGATCTTCACCATCTATGATAGTATAGGCTGTCAAGTTTAATAGGTAATTAGAGTGTATATAAGAAAGATAAAGATGCTCAATTTTAGTTACTAATCAGCTACACTAGCATTCCTCATGATTAGGCGAGTCGCTAGGTTGCTGTTTGTAAACAGGAATCGCATTTAGGTTACCAGATTTTTGTTACTGAATTTTGATAAAAAATTTTAATAATTATGAACACTTAAAAATTTACTACATGTAATATATTTTAGGATACAATACAAATACTATAGACCTAGATTTTTATCGTAGCACGTAGGCTAGTAAGGTGTTATATTGGTTTGCATATTCAAATTCAGATATATGATTACACCAAAAAATTTCAGAGCCTATAATCATATACCGGTATATGGAACTCACAAAGTCAAGGACAATGACTAGATCCAGAAATTTATGGACCATCTTGGCATGCTTATACAAACCAATGGTTCCCAAACTTTAGTCTCCTTGCCATGTTTTCCAAAAAAACAAAACCCTCTTGGCTATGTTCATAGAATTTGGTGACTGTTATATGCTTTCAATCTTCAAATAAAAACTGGATATCGAATAGTTTTAATATTTTAGGCCCAATAATGAAATTTTTATCAAAGCAGCCCTCGTAATCACTTAATAGGCGTTTATTTTTTTGATGAATTCATTTAAGTTTATACCCCCCTAAAGCGGGGTTAGAAGCTAAAAACCACATCTTCAATATAAAATTAAAGCAAACTGCACACACAAAATTTTATGAGCGTAGCCAAGGAGATTTTGAGTTTCTTTTTAAAAAACACATCTTAGCGATTTTTTTAGTTTAGAACCCCCCAAAAGATGCTTTTGAACATATAAAATCTATAGCGAAATATAGTCACCAAATTGCATGAGCCTAGCCAAGTTACAAATTTCTACCAGTCACTTGGTTCCATTAATATAGTGCAGTGAATAGCAGATGTGCTTTAAATTTTAAATAACAGAACAATGGACTGTAGATACCTCAAAATATGCATTTTTTTTTGTTTTAAATACCGGAAATAGAGCTTGGTGGCGGGGTTCCGCCGCGAATCCTGCTTACAGCGCTCTCCCAGACCCACGGCTTGCAAGGGCGGGGTGTCTACAGTCTTTCCACTAACACCAGGAAGAGCCTATTCTAGAGTACAATAAACATCTTCCAAAATAGTCTAAGGTTGGATTGTAATAAAGATTAATTACATGTACATATACACATATCATACATATATGGTTGGGGGTGGGAAATCACTGGCTTCGCCCATGACACTGGTCGTCCATTGCATCCCAAACCACTTCCAGTAGCCTGAACCCCTGTTTTGCTGGCAAGGGGCGGGATGCGGCGCAAATCTCTCACACTTTAGATAACTTTCACATTGTCATCTCCCACATTCATCAATACTAGACTAATTAAAACTTTGATGCATAAAAGACAATAGGTATTGAAGGAAGGAATAAAACCAAATTCAAATGAAATACCAAACACTGTACTATCTACATATCTTTTTGGATGTGGCCATGTTTATTATTAGTTTTATGTAGACACTATAAGGATATTTGAATAAGATGTTAAATATTTAAAATGAAAAAGAAAACAACATTTGAATAAAAGGGTTACATTCATTCAAATAACAGAGTTACAATTCATTCATATAACACGGTTACAATTCATTCAAATAAAAGGGTTACAATTCATTCAAATAACAGGGTTAATATTCAAAGGATTAACTGAAGTACAAACTATTGTGTGTATGAGTAATTCCATTAGTGGGAAATACAATCTTAAAGTCTCGACCTGCTTAAAAGATATCGAGTAGGCCCCCCCCTTCTACATTTCATACACCTCTGGGGATCTATCTATATACACCAGTTTGGGAATCACTGGTTTAAATTTGAACAATGATTTAACTCTTTCTCTCCGTAATTATAATTTCCACGTTCTGATAGAATTATTTCTTTTACTTATTTGTGTTTCATTACCCTACTATGGTTAATGTATGCTCTTTTTATATAATACAAATTAAAGTTTATAAAACTAAAAATTAATTAAATTTAATGGAGTGAAATCAACGTTGGTATCGTCAGTTAGGAGAGAAAGAGTTAAAGCTAATCTACCAGTCTGATCGTCATATTAGGGGCATATAAAAAGAAAAAAAAAGAAAAAAAACAGACATGAAAATTTAAGGTTTTGTCCACCACACCAAAAAAAAAATAAATTAACAAGACATATATTATGGAGTTATATTTCAATTTAAACAGATTAGACTCTTTCAAGTCTAAATACGACACTGCTTATACAAGTGTCACACATGGGCCCATAACCAGGGCCAGATTTAAGACAGTGAAAAACAATGAAAAGAGCCTCAAATATATGTTTTAAAATCTAATCATGCAACATTTACTTGATAAAATTCTTGGCCCTGACCTTTCAATCACTAATTTTCCAACTAACCGTGAACGATCAAATACGAAACGACATGGCCTAAATTGTGCCGAGGTGCCAAAAACTCAAACTCAAATGTAACCTATTTTTACTTAACTGAAATCTAAGATTAACTAAGTCATTTTGAAGTTCTAAACCGTAGAGGTTAAATCTACCAAAAAAAAAATATTTTTGTATAGGCCATTTCTATACATTATGTATTTGATTACCGACATTTTTATGTCTAAAGAACAAAACAAGAATTAATTCCGTTTAACAAATTATGAACACTTTTTTTTTGGTGCGTAACCGTCTTTCGTTCCAGTTTATTATGCATTTTTCTCCACAGATCAAGATATTTAACGTCATTCTTCTCTAGGTGTAGATAATTGTTAAAGTGTATGTGAGGGAGTGTATCATTGTATATCATTGTGATTATCATCACCAACTGTCCCTTCGCTTTGCGAATTTTGTCTGTATGGTAAAAAGTTTGTAGACGTTATTTCTCTTACACACCATCTCAGATTAAGTTCCAACTTTGCAAAATTATTTCTTTTCCATGACAACACAAGAATCAATTTAAAAAATTAACCAATTAGTTAATTAGCTATTGGTAATTAATTACTTTGGATGGTATCTTGAACAACGGAAAGAAATCGTACTTTATAGATGTGTTGGTATAGGTTGAATTAGTCCCATGTGGACTCTTGGGCCCTGAGTGAACATATTTTATTCATTTAAAAACGATCATGTGAGCATTCACCAAGATACCCCCTTCTTCCCTTCCCCTTTCACAACTGGTCAAGACAAGCGATACGATCATAGCGCATTGAGAAAGCTTTTCAAAAACAATTGGGAATATTTCTAATCGCACAGATGTATTATGTCAAGGCCAGTCATGCATATAATTACATGACTGATCCAAACAAATTATTAGCCGTTTTCAAATTGTTCTACCCACATTGTATCATCACAAGAAAGCTGAGCTAGTGTGGTCATATTGTAAGACATGTCAAGTAAGTAAAAGTAAAGTTCCCCTTTCGGACCTTGTGATCGAATTACGAAACAATTAGGAATGTTCAATATCTTAAAACTCTGAAGAAAAAAAAAGAAGCGAAAATCGAAATGTTTGTGACATTTTTTTTTTATTCTAAATACTGTGTATCTCAAAAATCTTGAAATAAAAGTAAACCACATAACTGTTATATAATAGAGTGGAGCATGTTTAACAATATTTGAATATCAAAATATAGGACATTTATCAAATAAATATGAATTTTAGCTGCCGACTACTAGGCCTAAATTTGTGTCTGAATTGAACAAGAAAAAGACCCAGGCTGGCTATGTGTCCGACAAGGTTGTGAGAGAAGCAATACAATATGACTTTTAGATTCGGTGGGCCCGAGCTGATTTCACATAATTTCTATCAAAACAAGCAAAAATTGTCGCAAGTTCTTTGCACTAGAAACCTGGAACACGATTTGCTTTTCCAAGTACAAACAGATTCAAATGACAGACTTGTACATTTTACAATTGTAAATTACTGCAACATTTCAAAACTTGATTCAGTGAACCAAAAAAAGTAAGCAACTATACCAATAACCCTACTTTAAAGTATTAGGCCCTAAGTACCCAAATGGAAATCTGGAAATCAGACCGGAGACCCTCAGGACCACATCCATTGGACTTCTTCCTCTACCATCACGCCCCGTGCTACGTGTATCAACAAGTTCAAATCTAAATCCATGTTCAAGTTTAACAAAGAGACAGGGGCGTTTCAGGGGGAGGGGTGGCAAGAATGGAAAACACTTAACTGTGATATACAGAGAAATAAAGTAAAGAAATAAATTTGAAACAAAATGAATGAAAGAAACGAAGCCAATAATTCGCTCATTGACTTGAAACTCTCTACGCCAGACTTAGCATCAGGTCATCCTTACTGAAAAAAAAAAAATTACAACACATAATAGCAATATTGTATCATACAAGTTTCTAATTATCTTATCTTATAAATTACAAAAGTTTCTTCAAAAGAGTAGATAATTACGTCATTGGCGTACTCATGAGTTAATCTTGTCGTGTGTATGTTGATTAGATACTTTGCCAAGTCATTGGTTGCCCTGGCTGATTCATGGAAGCCATTCCATGTTCTAATTTGAAAAATTTTATAGGCCTAAATAAATAACTTTTTTTGTAACAGTTGATTTAATAGAAGCAACCTATGTAGATGATGTTCTACGAGTTAACATTGACGGACCTATGCCAGAGGGACTTGTGCTAGTAGATGATCATTCAAACAATATACATCAAAAGCACATATTTGCCATGTACGTGCCAAATGTACCATATATTTGTAAAATACCACTCATTCATTGATTAAGAAATTTTGCCGTCGTAAAGATCTGCAAGAAATTTCGTACATAGTTTCCTTTTACTTCCTAGACGCACATTAAGAACGGTATTTGACAGGTGAGAAGCCCGAGGGCCGCTATTCGCAAATAACCGCAAGCTTCCAATCAAACCTTTGCACTTTATTTCGGTATTTCTCCAAAAAAGGCGCAGTCTACATAGATCTATAATGCATTTTAAAAAGATCACAAATTCCGTATTTTTTAATCAAAGCATTTTTTTCTTTTTCCCTAAGTCTAATTATTTTCAGTATGCCTTACGTCATTTTCGCTTCCTTTTAGATGCGGTCTAAATATAAAACAAAACCAATCCTAATAGCATTGATAAGATAGATCTAGAGTATTTTCTTATTTTTCGAGAGAGAGAGAGAGAGAGAGGGAGAGAGAGAGACGAAAAGAGAGAGCATTGTAACACTGTCAATTAACAAACAAACAAACAAACAAAAAAAACACTAAATCCCAACAAAACTGAAAATCTATATCTATTGTCATTTCACTACATTCTTCAAAAGGATGACAAATACACGATATGATACAAGAAAATGGATATTTCTTTGTATTTAGAGAGAAAAAAAGGCCCAAATAAATGTAGAAAGGGGAACGGGAATGTGTCACCAAGGACAAAACTTTTTTTGTTATTCGAGGGAGGGTGTTTGTGTGTGTGAAAATGCTATTAAAATTAACGGGCCCAAAATATTAGGACGAGTAAGTGTCGGGGACACATTATGAAGCGAGTCCAAATCAAGTCAAAAGTCCATGTGGGAGAAATTACGATGCGCAGGTAAAAAACAAAAACAAAATGGGGTCCCTGATAGCGAAAGACGAGAGAGAAAGAGAGAGAGCATTCAGTTAAATTTCATTGCAACAGATACACTAATTTAAGGGCTATAAAAAGTATGTTAAATTGATCGTTAAAATGTAGCCCTTTTATTAAAATAAAAAAAAGAGGTGTTCCGGCCATTATAAACGAACGGTCGTCCGAAGAAAAGCTGGCTGGACAATGTAAAAAAATGGAGCAGCCTCTCTCTCGGTATCCTACTAAGAATAGCTGCTGACAGGAGAAAAAAAGAGTGATTTGGTTACGCGAACTGTCACAGACGTCAAGGGACTGATAATGAAGAAGAGATAATGAGCTCCATAAAAACAGTGATGACTTGTGTACAAAATTTTGTTTTCTATTTGACTTCATTGTTATGTCAAACTGCATCATTAAAAAAAACAACAACACGTAGGGCCTACATTTTTTCTTCTTCTGAGTTCAGCTTTTCATGTTGAAGTGCTCAATAACCAGTCCTATATCCGAGATGAACTTCCAGATAAGGAAGCTATCCATACATTTGGTCTTGTAGTAGGAGTCTTTTGGGCCCAGTGTGTTGTTCAGGCGTTTCGGTGAAGTCCGCTGCTTTGAACTAAATGGTCAGCATTCACTGGGCATATTCTACAAGATCCTATTTTTAGCTTCCGGAGAATGCGCTGTCGTATTCTGTTTTGTCAAGAGGAGAAAAACTATTTGTGCTCCTCTCTGGCTAGCTTGTAATAAGCATCATTTTTTTTTTTTCGAAGCTTGGATGAGAAGATATGTTCATGAAGTGTAGTAGGTAAAAGCTCGTCCATGGGTATCAATGAAGACCACTCAATAGTAGTAGGTAAAAGCTCGTCCATGGGTATCAATGAAGACCACTCTTGCCACGCAGGCGATTGAAAACGTGGCTCTGCATTTGTGTACTTTTGGATGTGGCTGATGTCTATGAAAATGAAATGTTATTGTAGCTGGAGCTCTGAGTCGAGCGTCGAGACCTTCTGTTAAGGCGCTCTTCTTCTGCCAAGAGCGACACTGTTATGTTCTGTCATTTGCTTCGAAAGAACTAAACTCGAGGTTAACAATGGGTGAAACTCATATTTTAGGTTACAAACTAACCTAGATCGCATTTAGAACTACGGCAATTCTTCAAAATCCTCTCAAAAGATCTCTGCTTGAATTGAACGAGACAGTAAGTTTAGACGCAAATACGATTACATCCCCCCCCCCCCCCCCCCCCACAAAGTTTTATAATAAACATTCATTTTTCACAATACTCCTTATAAAAAGGTTTTGACTATTTTATGAATATTATTGCTAACTATGTTATGTTTAAAATTTAAAGTTCTAACTTAAACAAAGACATTGACACCCTATCGCTCCCCGTAAAGTAATGGCATTTACATCGATTACATCCATCATTTTTTTTTATTTTAAAAATATATTTAATGCATTGAATAAACCCTTTTTAGACAAAAAATTGCATCGATGTTTTTCAAATCATTGTTTCACGATATTTTCCGACGATAGCAACAGCCAAACAACACTTTGATGATGTTAGGTGACATAACAATAGTTCCACAACAAACTGAAATCCAGAATCTAATAGGCCAAATAGCTATTGTTCTTTACATCAACTACACGTATAAAACATAGATATGTGTCATTCTTTGTAAAGAAACTAATAAAATGAGCATATATAATGAGTCTAGAACATTTACAGCCCAAATGACCAGCGCCGAAATCTGCGTAGGAATTGACAAAGCCAATGAATGACAGATAAGTGAGTAATCCAAACTTGCCAGAAATATCTTAAAGTAGTTTCAAAACCTAACTAGATTAACTGACCAAGCTCATCTAATTTTTAGTGAAAGTCTAAGCATTAGTGAACTATAAACTAGGCCTCTTGTAAGTTTGTTAACAAATTCTGCTGTCATATTATATCAGAATTTGTTTACTGGGCACACAATTGACTTTGCAAGTATACCTTACACATGTTGTAAATGTTGGTTTGGAGATCTCTACTTGCATCAGATAATACACTACACATGTTGTAAATGTTGGTTTGGTGTTCTCAACTTGCATCAGATAATATAAGCCTACTACACAAGTTGTAAATGATGGTTTGGTGTTCTCAACTTGAATCAGATAATATAGGCCAACTACACATGTTGTAAATGCTGGTTACAAAAATGCCTCAAATTTTCAGCTCTGTGTATTTTGTAAAGTAGCTTCTTTTTTTTTTTTTTACATAATTGATTTACATATTGAAGTAGCTAAACCATTTCTTATTGAGTTCTTCTTTACTCTTGGTGAGTTACATGTATTGAATTCTAAGTATTATTTTGTCTATCTATTTCTCTTTTCTGAAGCTATAAGTAGATGAAAAGTAACAACCAAGTCATTGTATGCTACATAATTACCAACTTATTTACTGTACTAAAAATCTGGCTCCTCTACAATGATATCACCAAACTGCAGATGATACAGTTTATTACAGAACTCGAACTGTGATTATACACGTTTTACAACAGCTTCTAGAGAACCCCAGTAAGTCAGTTTGTTTGAGTTCACCTGGTCATATATAGGTCTTCCATTGTGGTTCGATGATGACCACTATTGTCACACAGGGGGGCTGAGGGCTGGTGAGACCAATGTGAGATGCCATGATGCTCTATCAAATACTTCAGTCTCACAGGTGTTCATACAGTGTGTTATCTACAGGCAGTTTACTTTTTCTAACGTCAGTTCACTTGTCACAGTAAATTGCAGAGAGCATATTTTGGTAGGACAGACTAACAGTTTGTTTGTGTTAGCCAATGACTTGGTGGAACAGGTTGATACCCTGAAGATTTGAGCACCAAATATCAGAATCTGCCAGAGAAACTATTTACTGTCAACTGAAGGCATGTTTGCCAACTTCTGTATTTATTAATGAAGCCTTTGTTCTTTTGAAGTTTCAAGCTTGGTATTTGTTTAAATCTTAAAACAATAATGTCCTCTTAAAACAACAATTTACATTCCAATGTGTTACCAAATAAAGAAAAGTTTCAATGCTAGAAGCAAAAAGAGATTATTTGGTAGTTGAACAAATAGATTGTTGTCTTGTATTGCAATTGAAAAAACATCTGACACTAACAATGATTTGATGATTAAATGATCTATTGATCAAAAAGATGATTTAATGTGTCTGTACTATATATACCTTATGTGCTCCTCTTGGTCTGGGAGGGTTGGGCAGAATCCCTTTGTAGGGCTTCTTCAGAATGGGGATATTCCATCTGAAAAATGTAGAGAATAGCTTATAATTAATAAACAGAGCAGAAACAAAATCTTAAAAAAAAATATATTGGGTTTAAGTCAGCAGTGTTTAAACAATATAACTTGAAAGACTTCAACAGTGATCCCAAACTCACTTGTCAAGATTGTTTTCTTCACAGCCATCTTTGCTTCTATTGTAGCCAGGTCCCTCAGACATTAATCTGAAACACAAGAAAACCATAAAAACAAATAGATCTTTTTATAACAGCAGGCAATGGTGGATAAAATCACAGAACAGCAGGCAATGGTGGATAAAATCACAGAACAGCAGGCAATGGTGGATAAAATCACATAACAGCAGACAATGGTGGATAAAATCACAGAACAGCAGGCAATGGTGGATAAAATCAC